TCTCTCTCTCTCTCTCTCTCTCTCTCTCTCTCTCTCTCTCTCTCCACCACCACCACCGCCACCTGCTTCCAGTGGTTCAAATGACTCTTGGAAGAGTGGCCAAGAGCGCCGTTATGCCCTTCGGGACATCCGTTAAAATTGGAACGATAGAGAAAGATTAGCATGACCCCTACCCAAGGATGACACGCATAAACCAAGAGCGCCGTTATGCACTGGAGGTCGGGCACATCGCGCCCTCATGGTCCTCACCCCTGCTGTGCCCAGGACCTACGCGAAACGGCAAGCCCCGAAAAAGAATTTGGACCCCTGCACAGTTTTCTTTTATAGCCGATTCCCTGGATACCCGTGCGCGCGCCCGGCACCTCTGCGGAAGTGCGCAGTTTTAGTCGAACGCCGTAGAATGCACGTTCAACCGTCAAACGTGCGTTCACGCGTTCAACGAGCTCGTTCACGCATTCAACGCGCGTTCAAAGGTTGAACGCGGAGGGCGCCTTGCATCTGCCTGCAAAAGCTGCGACTTAGCACCAAACCGAGGATCGAGGTCGCTGAGAGAAAGGCTACTACACACGAAGACGCTGTTCACGCACAGCAGGTACAGAGGCGATTACGTTCAGCACGCATGGCCCAATCACGTACTGGTGGGGTGATCACCGCGACCCGCACAGGGATGCTTTACAAGTGGTGACTAAGGAGATGATGATGACAGCTTCAGCACGTCATAAGTGACCGAAACCATCACGGCAAGTATGACGTGGTTATGAGGGCGATACGTGTCTGGAAACGACGACGAGAATCAGGGCGAGCCATCCGATTACCACCGCGACGGATTCAGGCCTGGGGAGCGATGCCACTACGACCGCCATGATGGGATCAGCCACGAAACTGTGGCAAAGCTCACCACCATCATCAACGACGATTAGCAGTGACCGCTCACGTTCCCGAAAATCAACTCCAAGGCATAAACGACAAGCACTATGAGCTTCTCTCTCTCTCTCTCTCTCTCCTGTCTCTTATACACATCTAGATGTGTATAAGAGACAGGCCCCACCCTGACGTAGTGGTACACACTGCTCCG